CCACAGGAGGGGAAGGAAAAAAATTTCCTTTCCCCCCCCAATGAAATACGCCTTTTTTTTTTAAAATCCCAAAGGACCAAAAAGTTGGGGATACCCAACCATTTTGGGAAAACTACAGAAAACACATTCCTGAGAAGACTTTCTACATTCAATCTCCGACTCCGTGTAGAAAGGAAGTTGAAAGCTGCAAGCCAGAAAGCTATGCCGAACACGTTAACAAGTGGATGTAAAGGCAAGCCACGCAAACAGGCTGGAATACAAAAAGAGGCCATGACTGAAGTGGCGAAGGCAGAGGTATACCAACATTATTGGCCGTTGAGACGGGCTTACTCGCCACTTTCCGGTGCGTATTATAAATTGTGCCTAGAATGTTGCTTGAAAGTAGTGAGCACACACTCTACTGGGATCGTTCCCATTATCACTGACAGACAATGTCGGCGGCAATAGACACGATATAAACGTACATTGATAGAAGCCAACAGCAGGTTTTCCTTATCGGATATACTCAATACCCATTCCCACAACATATCGGGAAAATAATCAAGAGAAGATCCAAGAAGTATAACCAATCTCGCCATATGACAGTCGCAACTCCAGTGGAACTTCAGTAAATTGGACGACTGTGCTATAATAATAATCAGCTTACGGGAGTGATCCGAAAAGTACACTCGGTCACTGGAGTGTCTTTCACTTTGGATACAGGAATGTTATAATTGCAAAAGACACGTAATTTTGAAATACATGCCGTACTTGTCAGAAGCCATCTGAACGTTTCAGTAAACGCAACCACACACCTGGTGTCATCAATACTGTGTGTGGTTTTTGACATACCGACCAGTAGAATACTGTGAATAATGTAAGATAAACATAATAACTAATAATAATAATAAATAATACTAATAATGCGATAATGATATTACAGCTAATAATAACAATAATAATAATAATAATACTTAATTACAAAGAAGACATAGGGTAATTGCCTGAATTTTATTAAATATACTTTATGACATCGCGCCACATTCAAGAAACTAATTTTATTTTAAATTTGCTCAGGCTTTGAGGAAAGGGATCGAAGGTTGTCACAGGCAAACTGTTCCAGTACCTAATGTGCGATCGCGAATGAAATATTTCCCAACGTCCGTTTTCTGAATTCTTGTCTGAATTTTGTGCATGTGATCCGCTCTGCGAAATATGTAGGTTTCCCTATCGACTTTGAATTTCTTTCCACGCTCGAAGGCCTGTGTACGCTTTATACATTGCCATAGAGACGTGACATTAATCTTCTCCTTTCGAGTGACTCCCTATACCTTTATTCTTGGTACCCCTGAAAGTAAATTTTGATGCTCTACGCTGGACTTTTTCTAGATTTTTTTGTTGCACATAAGGTCTGTATGGGTCCCAACATACGCCGCCATATTCTAATATAGGTCGCTCTAATGACATATATGCTAGTTCTTTGGCTCTCACTGTACTCTTTTTTCAGTATCCCCATAACAAAATGTAAAGATTTCGCAGGCTTTCCCTACAACGAAATTGACTTGATTTTTCCCAGCTCAATTTACAGTCTAGCTGTATTCCTAAGTATTTGCAGACGTGACTGCGAGGTATACACATTATTGTTCAATTTGTTACACAGATTCATTGTAACTTCGACCCCTACCAAGCGTGATGGACTTGCTCTTTGAACTGTTTATTTCCATGCGTTTGTTTCTGCCAAGAGTATGTTTTTGTCTAATTCTGCGCTGCAAAATATGCCCGTCTTTCTCCGAGTTACCTATTACAGTGCTCAGGAGTGTCATAGCTATTGTCCGAATATCGAAGCGTGATGGGTCGATTACACTTCCTTTGGAATTCCTGAGTAACGGCTTCTCGAGGGTTGATATATACTTCTCGATTCGTGCTGGAACAACATGCAAAAGTTTGAAAAATCTATTACTATCGCGTCGACCATTTTCCCTTCCATCAACTACCGTCGGCTAGGTCTGTTAGAGGGAGGCTAGCCTGACGTTTCGCAGGAGAAACCCATTCTGAATACTCGTGCCTGACCCTAATAAAGCCGCCTCCTGGCCCCTACCATTCTTTCCTGATTGATAGCTTGAAATTAAGATGTTCCATAAGTTTTGGCATACGACTGATGTAAGGCTTACCGGTCTATTAGTTGCTAAATATTGTCTTGTCGCCACTTTTAAAAATAGTAGCTAGCGAGAGGCCAGCTTCCAATCTGCCCTTGGAGGTTAAGAAAACGAATAGATGTCTCTCTTAAGGAAAACGCTTAATAATACTACCGGACTTTTCCGTGGTCTCTTCCAAACTTTTGCTAAGACAATTTATGTTGCCCGTTTCATTAAATTCATTAAATTGTGTTTAAAAATTAATTCCTTATGGAAGTATACATTTTACTCTGTTGTATTTGTTGTGACATCCATGGATATTCCATTCAAGTTTTCGTTAATTCTTGCCGCACGAACGATATCATTTCCTAGCATACTCCTTTCCTCAACCTCAGCACAATAAAATTGCTCCCTAATGTATATCCAAGCACACTGGTTATGACTTCGCAATAACTGATAGAAATATGATTACTACTATGTTAATAGCTAGTCACCTGACACAAAAACTGCATGATTAATGAGTTTAGTGTGGACAATGCCATAAATAATGTCATTATTTGGATACATGTAAGACTTTTAATATTATTATTATTCATTATTATTATTATTATTGATTATTATTATTATTATTATAATTATTAATAAACATCTAGCCAAATAGTACATTCAACTTACGCATGAAATACAATGGGTTTTCTCGCTCAGCGAAATATCACATTTCAGACGTTTTAGAGTGGCAAAACGTACCGTTTAATTATTCGCTATTTTATATTCTTTTTAAATTATAAGTTGAGTAGTATTATAACAGTACAATAAGCACGGTTATTACCGAACTTAATATAACATTTATTCAAAAAAAATGATATATATAGTAATATATATATATATATATATATATATATTATATATTATATATGATAGTATATATATATATGAATAATAATGAGGAAATCGAGTAATTTCACCTTAACCTAAAACTTTTCCTCCTAAATATAATATTCGCTTCTCTGTCAACCTAAGAAATGCTTTTCTTAAGTGTATACTCTTCAATCATGACTTTCAAATCACTCAGAGGCAGTATCACGCACGAGAATACTCCTGCGCTCCCGCACATCGGCGCATTTTGTGTAGCACAGAAACGCTTCACTCACGCGCCCAGAGAAAGCCTATTTCCGTCGTCGGAGATACAATAGGATGGACATTCCGTTCCCGAGGCGACTGATAACGCATCTCTTTCCTTATACTCCGATTTAAACACAGTTTCCCTACGAGGTCATGAGCAGGAAAGAGAAGGGGACAGTGTCATCCATTCGGGTGACTCAATACGAAAAACGTAAATCGTAACGAAGCTCCCGATTCGGTGGCAGTGTCCCCGTCTCCTTCCAGCTCGTGACCTTGAAGGGACACTATGTTTAAATCAGAGAATAGCACGCGTTTTCCTCGGGAGCCCCCACAGTTCCATTTATCGCTGCCTCCTTGCATAACGCCGTCGTGCCACGCGACCTGCCCCTGTGTTCCTCTCCTATGCACACGTGACGTCGCCTGACCTGGCAATTGGAGTCAACCGGGGCGAAGACGCTCCGCGCGCCGACAGTCGCTCGCGATCCGACGCGATGGCAGCGCCGCAAGTGCTGACGCGCGAGGACTGCGAGGCCGTGGCCAGACGGCACTTCGGGCGCGAGGACGTGCGCGTGGCGCGCTGGACGGAGAGCAAGCTCGGCGGCGACAAACCCGCCGGGTTCCTGGGCGCGCACAAGCTGGTGACAGTGCACGCGGCCGCCGGCAACGGCCCGGAAGAAAGCGTGGACGTCTTCCTCAAGACGGTTCCCGACAACGAGAACCAAACGAAGCTCATCGAGACGACTGGCGCGTTCCGCAAGGAAGTATTCTTCTATCAACACCTGGTTCCCGCTTGGGAAGAGTTTGGGATTATTCCGAAGGCATCTCTGGCCCAACGAATAGCCAGCGCGGAGGTACCTAGCGAACCGTCATGGGGCTGCCGCTGCTACATTGCTCGTGACAAACTAGTTGTGTTGGAGAACATCGCTAAGTTGGGTTACACCTCCGAGAGCCCGCGGGACGTCTACGACCGCGAGCACATCCTCTTCTGCATGAAAATGATCGCAAAGTTCCACGCCGCCTCCTTGATATACGAAGAGAAGCTCTCCGAGGGACGGAAGAAACCGTTTCGGATCGGGGAGGAGTTTCCTGAAATGGTGCAAGAAACCTTTTATCTCGTCCAAGACGGCCACCCTGGCGAGCAGACGACCGAAGCGGGCGTGGTCGGACTGATGGAATGCGCGAAGAAGCTTCCCGCGTGTCAGGATCCGTGCGTGCTGCGGGTGGTGGAGGAACGATTGCCGGGGGTGTTGCGACGCGTGTACGACTCGGTGAAGGCGTCCGCTCGCCGTCGCAATGTACTGTGTCACTCGGACCTCTGGCAGAACAACATCCTGTTCCGGCGAGACGCCCGCGGCCGGCCTGTGGACGTGGCGTTGGTCGACTTCCAGCTGATGCGCTACGCCCCGCCGGCGCACGACGTCTACGACTTGCTGCACCTCACCACGCGCCGGGAGCTGCGAGAGCGCCACGAGAGGGAGTTTTTGGACGTGTACTACGCCACGCTCGCCGACACGCTCCGGGAATTCGGGCTGAGCGCGGAGCACGTGCTGCCCCGCGAGGAATTCGACGCCTCCCTGGACGAGCAGCGTCTGGCAGGGCGACTCGCGGCCGTCTTCTGTCTGCACTTCATCCTCTCCAGCGAGGAGATGATCCGCTCCGTGTTTAGCGACTCGGAGGAATACGAGCGCACAGTGTCAGAGGGGAAGTACAGAGCTAAACTGATCTGCACGCAGTTCGACAGAGACCAGGAATACCGAGAGCGATTGGAAGAGTGCCTCATGGAAGTATTAGAGAAAGATGTGTTATAGTGATGGTTCTTCAACACTTAAAATAGAACCGTGCGTGATAGATCTTACTTCTCCGAAGTCAATCGTTTTGGGATTTATGTAATCATACTTTCAAGAAATTGTGCTAAAAATTAGAAAGTGTAATATATAATATTTTTCTGAGATGAAGAGTGACCTGAAAGTCTTGTAAAAACAATTATACTGTCCCATGCACAATCTTTAGCCAATATGTGAATGATTTTGTTTGTAAATTGAGATGTTCGTTGTTTGAATTTATAAATGATCTTTATTTAGGTTGAACCTAATTTTGATTACTTCGGTTGGGCAACACCAAAAGCCCTTAGACATTTTACTTTTTTTTGACATACTTTTCAGAAAGGAACGTGTTCTTATTGTAAGATATTTTCAATTTTTGGGAAATTTACGAGTATGTCATCTCAAACACCAGATATCTGTTTTGAATCATCATTTTTTAGAGATGTGAGAAATAACTCAAAACGATTAAGATTAAATAATCCCTGGTAATTGAGATAATGTTTGAAACATTAGACAGAAACTTCTTACAAACAGATATAATTTGAATATCAATGTTAGAAATATTGTTTAAACTCTTTTATTCTCGATATTTAATGTATTCAGAGTTTTAATATTATATTTTGCCAAGAAGTATTAGTTTTATTAATAGTTTCTAAATACTCCATGTTTGTACCGAATATCTAACAATTCCTGCCAGACTAATAAGAAATGCATCACATATCACGAGCTAATATATTTTATTGCTTTGATTAACAATTAACACAGTTTACAATTTAACTGTTTTGACAGCTATAATAAAAATTAAAAAAAAATATTTATGGATTAGTAAGAAGTCTAATCCGGAGTAATCTCATAATTTCCATTTGAATGGGTTTCTAATCCAGGAGGCAGGCCTATGGCCACAAAATACATTAATATATAAACAGTACTTGAAATATACATTTATTTTTGTACTCAAAATTGTACAAAACTAGTACTTTTTGCAATTGTACTATTGTTCAGATATTGAATAAATTATTGTTTAAAATATTTCCACGATTTAATTAATACTATTGCTTATTGTAAAACATCCAGACAATTCTTTATAAGATTGTTATTGAACAAATTGTATTACAGTTTAGTTCATATTATTTGCTCTTTTATTTTTGTAGAAAAAGAGTATTCCAACACTGGAATTTTTAAACCAAAAGCAGTTATTAAATTCTTCTGAAATATTAATTTTACTGCCAAATTCACAAAATTGTCTGATGGTTTATAAATAATGAAGATATTTACTGAAGACTGTATGCTTAAACGCCAATTGGAGGGAAAAATAAATTTACAAACGTATTTCGTACTGAAAAAAGAAATTAACTATAGAATATTACGCTCTAATGTATTTACTAGTCGTGCAGTTCACGGTTTTAAAATGAGAAGGATGATAAGGCTAACAATTACAAATGATGTATTCTAATTGATGTTCAGTCACATCGATCTTGATGCTTACGAATGTGCGTCGGCCCAAAAAAATGTACTATTGACAAGGAACTGTAAAAATGAACGCTCAGCTGCTCCGAAAATTTTTCTTCCTGCAATTTTAAGTCTAGTTCTTTTATTAAATTTCGTATAGCTTTTTTTTTACATTTATTTTTATCGAAAGACTTGTAGAAATAATAGAAATTCAATTGCTTGACAATGTTTGTTTTTGCAGCATCCGTGCCAATGTATTAAATGAACACATCTCGTACGTTTGCATTTATGAATCTACAGGGAAATTCCGATGATAACAGTTGAAATTAATGGTCAAGTGGAACTGCTGAAATGAAAATGTTTTATTTTGTGTGTTTCTCTTGTAAATCATCTATTTTCAATTTGGGCTCATTTAGAGAAAATTAATACTACAATTTGTGTTGTAAATTGTTTCAAACAATGTATTTTCTGAAACATTTTTCTAGAGAAGGTAGTAATTTGAAGTAACTTCAGCTTTCAACAGATTCGAATTTTTTATACATTTAATCCAACTCCATCATTCGTAGTTTCTTAAGAAAGTTTCTATTTAAAAACAAAACCCTCTTGACGTCCGTTTTCTTGTTCTAAAACGTAGAGCAGATATCCTATATATACTCATGTTTTTCATTGTAACCCACTTATCATACATTTGGCACCATCTTAGCCAGAAAAGGCCAAAAGATCCCTGGTAGATCTCCTAGCGTATATGAGTATTGCCGATAGCGTAGTGTAGGGCAATGGTTTTCACGGCCTACGCTACTGCACCATGGACACTCGCATACCGGCTTAGTGCAAGTACAGGGCAAATAAACGCAAAGGACAGGATCGAAATTTTGGAAAGATTTAAAGCTGATTACTGTGATGGATAAATCTTGTCACAGCCCCTCCTTCCAATGTAGTGGCGACGAGAGGGAGTTAATGTCTAAAAATTGTTATTATGTTTTTTTTTCAAGAATGCCCATGGTAACTTTTATTCATAATTCAACTTGCTACAGTAAGAGTAGGGGCAAGAATTCCGGAACAAAGAAACAATTTTTCTTTTTTTAACCCACGTGTCATTTTCGTTTGCAATTAATAAAAATATTAAATAAATCATTAAAAATAAATAAATAAACAAAAAAATCAATTCACGAAAGAATATATAATAAATAAATGAAGTACCCACGTTGCTCGCGCCACGCCCCATTTCCCGGGAAATATCTGAGCTACGTTGAACACTGACAAAAATGTGAATATTTGAGTTACCTACGCCAAGCGAAATCCATTTTCCGCGAAGCTATCATAACCTATGATTTAAGAGCCAAAAATAAACTCGAAAAACCAATCGGGCTGCATGAAAAAGCAACGGAAAAGTCCCTTACAGCAGTGAGAACGTCGCTTACCGCACGCACCTTATCGTGGTCAACACTCCCATAATGTAACTAGTGGTGCTACAGAATATCACAGACTTTACCGTGTTAGTTTTCTATTTCCTTTGGTCTCGGCTAGCTACTCAGACTAGCCAGAAATTCTTGACATTTTTTTGACATTTTCTTAATTTTTCGCTTTCTCAATTGTAGAGCGAGCATATTATATGAAGATTATTAAAGAACAGTAAAACCTTGCCATAAATGACAATTTAAAAAATTGGATCCGCTTTTAAACACCTGGCGTTTAAGTGCTACTGTAAATTCTAAATTTGGACCTCTTTTCACAGAAAACAATTACGTATCCCAAAAACTGCATATGAAGTCATTTCAAGCACTTCCATTCACAAATGCAATATTGTTTACAAATCGCTGAAAATGTGTACACTAATACCACCAGAGATCTCTCAATAAAATATATTAGTGTAATTTTTGGAAAAAATGTCTTAACTGAACATTACGTCCTGATAAAGAGTGCAATTAGCACTATCCGTTCGAAAAGTTTAAAGAAAAAAATTGGAGCCATTTTTTGAGAGAATGGCGTTTGAGCGTTTTTAAAAATACGGAATTTTGAGCTAGTTTTCACAGAAGAATGTTGAGTTTTCTACAAGCTTTATTTTATATTATTTAAAGCACATGTACTCATAAATATAATAGTTTGAAGGAATCGCCGATAGTGTTAAAATTATGACATGAGAAACAAGTCAAAAGAATAAATTTTTGAAAAAACAAAAGAGTAGAGCAATATGACATCAATTTCATCTTATAGAGTACATGTAGCACTATTTCTATCAAAAGTTTTTAAAAAAAATGGAGTCGCTTTTTAGAAAAATTTGGATATGTCCGGAGGACTTCATGCAAAGTACCTCCAATTTATAAAGAAAGTTTTTCACCCACATTCTACCACACGTATCAGGGGACGAGTCGGAAACCAGGTACCAGTTAGCTTCTCCTGATTGGTGCAGTGCTTTGAATGGTGAGATACCTGTAGGGGGATATCCCCTTAACCAACTTGTAGGTCAGCGCTGTACCTCACTTTCAAGCTGAGAAGAAACCCCACCACCTTCCGGAAATAACATGATATGTACCCACTAAACGACCAGCTGCTCTGATCGGTAGTTTTGGTAGATTTGGTTTGCCACGATTAATACGAGGCGAATGCTGAATACCAGGCGAACACTTCACAAACGGGCCACGGTTTTCGCGAAATTTTTCCGTCCTCATCCTTGCTCGTTCTTTTCCTCTTAGTAGCACATATATGCATATTTACACTTAAAGTTGCATGCACTTTATCACCGCTTGCCAATCAGAGGTTTACAGCTTGGCCCGGCTGGGGGAGATATCTGAGGTGACCAGCAGGGGAGGTATCAGAAGTGGGAGGCGAATGCCGGAACTTTACCCTAACAAACGAGCGCGCGATATTTTCTTCCCCTTCCTTGTCCTATCCTCACCTATTACACACACACACACACACACACGTCCATGCACTGCTCTATCACACATGCCGGGAGACCAATCGGGAGATTAGAGCTTGTCCGGCTGGGTCGGTTCCCGGCTGGAAGGAGATACCTGGTTGGGGAGAAACCCCGCTAGCCGTCGGGTAGGTCGCCGGCAGATCTCGCCATCCAGCGAGGAAAGATCACCGCCACCTCCCTGGGGGAACATGTACTACACATACGGGAGCTATGACCTCCGTAGTTGACGCGCCGGGAATCGCTAACAAGTGGTAGAAGTTACTCGTAACAAACCAACCAACAAATCAATCTTAAGTGGGGAAAAGCCGACGAGAAGTTTGACGCCATATCTCACGTTCGATCTGCGGAGGAACACCGCCACCTTCCGGATATAACATGCACAACCCTCTTGGAGCTAATGACCCAGGGAGTTGACGCGTTCCGAAACACGTAATTCTCGCTCACTCCCCCGCGTGCGCGTTGTTGGGGCGCCAGTGGCCGGAGGGGGAAAGAACGAAACGGAACAGAACTGGAGCGGAAAGGACAACCGAGCGACACGTCGCAGCAGAGACGAGTATTCCGCCGAAGGCGATGGATCGAGCTGCGCTGAGGCCCCCTCTGAAACCAGAGCGCGGGT